TGCCCTCTGTACACCCCAACTTCTCATCCTGTCTCACGCTAATTTGGCCCTCGTTTCACTCAGTCTTAACAGTCGTGCTAGAGGAAATCGCCCTTCACAACTGATTTTTGTCACTCATCTAAGGCATTTGTTGTCGAGATATTGCAAATACCGCAATAACTAAAGTCAACACCAAATCGTCAAGGCATGAGAATGAAGCACATAATGTAGTCTCCTTAAAGTGCCGTTGTTTAATTTGATCTAAATTAAAAGAAATGGACTTAGGAAACCCTCTAATTAAAGCACTTTTAATTGAGTCCTTTCGTTCAGCATGAAAGATGCGGGTTGGTGGTTTGCCTACTTACCTGTTGTAAAAATTCGTTCCACCATGTTCTAAAAGACAAATACGAAAATTCACAAATAATGTGGATTTCAAACAGGATTGAAACAACGAATATTTCGATTTGGAATGCGAGTCCCACGCCTTGAATTGGCGCCGAAAGTTAAGGAGGACTACTTCACTCAAGTTTTTATTTCCTCATCTTCATTTGTTTTGCGGTGCTTGTGACCATTTAGCATGAGGCGCTCACATAGCACGTTAGAAGTGGAATTAGAGGCGACAAATTTGACTTCTCACCTTCACTTGACTGCCAGCTCGAATTGCTTAAATCGAGACAAGGCGGTCAAGACGAAGTGGTCGTGATTTTTTACCCTCCACGACATGACTGTTCGGAATCTAATACGCACACTTCGAGTTGATTTCAGGTCTTGTCGAATCATCATGTGACTGATGACTCGTGACGCGCAACTCATTCACAGTTAGCTTTTGTGTGCCCTATTTCAGAAGACCAAAAAAGAATCCCAGCTCTCACACACAGCTACTCGCTTGCGCCTCTGCGAGAATTTAAGTCCTCCAAATGTGAGGGATTGACGTATAACTTTTGTGAAACCCTTATTACGTCAGTAGAGCTTGTAAATTCATAATTCACATTTATCTTGCGAAATGATATAAGTCAGTATCAACCTACGACTCAACATTCTTCAGCACAGTGACACCTCTTTGTTAAACTATAACCCTCATTTTAGTTAATATTTCAAAGAAGCAAGTACCAGATAATTGCCTCGTAATTTGCAACCATTTAAAGTAGCCAAACATTTAGGTGGATAGGAAGGATAGGACTCCTAGTGCCAATAGCGCCATTTAAATCAGGCTATGAGTGACACAACCTGAAACCAACTGCTTATTTAGGATGGGCGAGTACGAGAAGAACATGGCGACTTCACAACGTCGACTATCCAAAAAGTATTCAGTTCTTTGTTAAATTACTATGATTTTGATGAGCGGAAAAAACTCCACGACGATGCTTACTGCAGACATCCGACTTGTCTCCAAAAAACCTGTCGCCTTCAAAGCTAACCGATTGTTCAATTACATAATTCGGTCCACTTGTTAACTGGATGCATTTTTCATTATACTTAAACCGGAAAATTAATGGCAAAATGAGTGTTACAGTCAGAAGTACGTGCTTTTTGTGCTGAATACGCGACTATCAAAATGATCCGATAAACTTTTATAACTTATATCCAAGATCTAGCAACTCATGGTAGAAGGAAAGTGCCCATGCGGCCACATGATTGCTTAACAAGATAAATTAGAGGAAAATAAAGAAATGAGATGATGGATGAATGGATTCATTCACGACTTACGGAGAAGATGATGAGGAGTTTGTAAGTGAAGGTGAATGCGTCTTCGCCTCGAGATGGCACACGCGCGGTGCGGCCCGTTGAAGGCGTCACGCCCTCCCATTGGTTGGGGCGGTGACGGTGATGACAGCCACCCACCCAATCCCCCTTCCCACGTCCTCATGAAGCACTAAAGTCACGAGCTGCCTACTTCGAGCCTGCGTCAGTAGCACTAAACAGGTGTGCTTTTTCTGCTCTGACAGGTTTAAAGCAAACCATAAGTCTTAGACGACTTAGTCCACCTCTGCAGGAATCACGGCTTTTAAATGAATTTTTGCCTGATAAAACTATATCAAACTCGAGTTAAAATCCCCTGTCATGTGCCACTCTCTGTATTTTATTTAAACATTCTCCCTCCGACCATTCTGATAAGTGGGGATTGAAGATTTGCTTGAGTCTCAACTCAGTGCTTGCTCAGTCAATTATAGCATCACAATTGGCTTCAAGTGCTGCCAGTGGTGATAGTACACTTGTAAAGGATGAGAAGGCATCACTGATGCAATTAAGTGCCTTTTTATTTCGGTTCACAGGGGATGGCGTCCTCTGCGTGGTGACACTTCTCACTGACAAGCACAATCGCGTCATTGGCATTCGAACAATTACGCCACTCACTCCGCCAGTGAAACCTCGATTACGATGTAATTTTACGCGTCGGCATTCCTAGCATTCATGTTTTTTCATCCAAAAACTACAAAGGAATGTGTATTTACGAATTTGTCTAGCATACGGTCTCAATTCGGCTTATGTAGGAACCCACTTTTCCAAAGCACCCTCTTCTAGGCATAACTACAGCTTGCGACTGGAGTCCACACTTAACAATTACCAAAATTTTCTGTTTGACTTGAATAGAATAGCGGCGGGTATCACTGAAACAAGTTGATCCAAGGATGGATTGTGAAGTTTGTGAGGCATGGGAAAGTGTCTAGAATCTTTAGAATTTCCCATAGAAAAGCAAAGGCCTAACGCTTGAGTAGAGTACTCTTATTCAGCAAATGGTACCGACAGATGAGCAGTCAAGGAACTACAGAGTGGATCATGAAATTTCTAATAAAAAATCCTACAAGTCAAATGTTAAGTTGAAACGTAGAACGCATGATCGACTTAACTGATCGTCCCGTTCAGAGAAATTCATTCAGAAAGTGGGGAGGCAGATTGTGCATGAAAAAGAGGCGCTCTCACTTTCACTGGAACTGTCTTACTTTTTTACTGCAATGGACATAATTAGAAATGCCTCCTCAGCCAAGCACACTACAATACGGCTTTTTTTCAACTAATTCTGTAATGAATATCAGATTTGGTGGAATACATGCTAATTGTATAAAAGAAAACATAAATGAGGTACGTAACGAAGGCGCTCCCATGGATGCACTGTTTCTTCTTTCCTTTAAACACCCATTTACTGCCTCTTAAAGGCGCATTTGCAGAGTTGCAAGAGTTGCACCGATTGCAAACAAAAACCACATATATGCACATCTTCACTTCAAAACAATTATTTCTAGCGTAAATGCACCCGGTCTTCTTGATATTTTTAACCTATCACTTTCTAAGGCGCTGTTGACTGCATAAAGCAACCATCGGATTTCAACTACTGGATCCCGGGGGTTGAATACCAACAGTATTCATTGAGCACCTTTTTACTTCTACACTTCAACCTTTGCAACCACGTCAGCATTGAGGCGTGCCTACCAGTGGCCTCACTACGCAAGCGAGTACGTTTAGCTCTCCCAACTGCAGGCGAACACACAGCTACAACGTGTGTGTTTCCTTTTACTGGAACAGTTGCTGTAGAAGTCGCAAGACATGCTTAGCGTTAATGGCGGTGAGCATTCCGCATTTATGATTTTCAATTGAACTGGAACAAACCAACTAGACTTGGCCATGACTGGAGTGTCGTATTTTTATGCTCCAAAAAACAGAAGAGAATAACTGACCGTTTGAGGCTTGCTTTTTTAGAATTTAAAGTCTTTCAAATTTGACTCAAACGGATTATCTATTTTAGGCATTGTATGTTGACAGTAAAAATGCATTGCACATTCGTGCTTTAACAAATGGAATCCATAATTTCTTTATAAATCATAAAACTTTATTCCTTGGAGAAGCCTTGGATAAATTTGTGTTAAATTCGCCTACCATTTGTCACTTGTGACGACATTGAATAGAAAGCAAAAATATTAATGAAATCTTGTTTCTGGCCCTAGAAGTTGTTTAACTATTTTGGTGGTTTTAACACCTCTTTCGTTGTTCCATGATTCGAACAACTGACAAGAAATTAGCTACTCGACGGCAATGGAAAAATTAAGAGTACCTTCATAACTTTTTCGATGACTGAAAAAGGTTTACAAGCAGAGCCCCACACAGGCCAATTCAACCGTTGAACCCTCCAGCCGGTCACAAAGACGAGCTTAACCTGGGCACTGGTGCAAGTGCATAAACATTCTTTGGCACACCC